CAAGTGCGTGTGTGCTTGCGTGTACCTGACGTAGACTGTGCTGTTGCGTAAGTCGATATTCATGCTTGAGTGACTACAGAGTACGACATCTGAAAAGGGTGAACCTACTTGTGGTAAAGATGAATGGATCGATATATTTAATGTGTACAGAAATAGGGAAGCCATTGAATACATATTTAGACAAAGTAAGAATTCGCCAGCCGCATAGAGGCCGACGTGTATCTGTGTCCGACATAAAGCAATATACACACCATGCAATTCCATAAAAGAAACACACACAGAATAGATACACACAGACATTTGCATCCGTATTGTTTTCGTCGTATAGCCCCTTCTTTCTCCATTCAACGATGAGCTGAAGTACTTGTATGGATATATATCTATACCCGTACTTTTAAGGGTTGTCGATTCGATAACTGAGATATGTTTGGTGGGCGTGGCTGCTCAGAATTTGTCAAGGTCTGCAACAATATATACTTAAAGGCGTTTATACTTGTTGTTTCGCGGGTGTCAGCTAAGTGCATAGAAACCAGACGAAAGTTCCGGGAAACAGTTACCAGCCTTGAATAACGAGCGACTGCATTATCTTAAATTGTTTTATTTTTAATTTTTTTTCAAAATATTTCACTATTTCTAATAATATATATATATATATATATATATATATATATATATATATATTTACTTAAACATTATTTCAGTGTATACTCGCATTTGAGTAGTACCAGCCTGAATTTTCGAGAAACCTTATTAGGGAAAAATATGTACATTATTTAATTTACTTTATTCGGACGATTATCCTCATCTTTGTCGGCATATTTATTACAATGTTTCGGCCGTTGTACGCTCCGGCCTTCTTCAGGTGATTGGAATGTCGAACTGAACCCTTTATTTCGCTCATTGGGGTAGACTGTTCTAGTTCCACATGCCATGTTTAATGGATGTCAGTTATCGGTTATCTCCTGTTAATTTCCCTCTCCAAGTTCTCCACTGCCTTAACCGGGTATTGAACTCGCACTCTTTGGGTCCTGTCACTGGATCTAACCAGCGTCTTTATCCACTGTGCCACTGTGCCGAAACGTTGTGATAAATCGGAGCTTACAACGGCCGAAACGTTGTAATAAATATGGCGACAAAGATGAGGACAATAGTCCGAATAATGTAAATAATGTACATAATAAATCATCTCAGAAATCTAGACAGATACTGAAGAAAAAAAAAAAAAAATATATATATATATATATACATATTTTACATAGATGTGGGCTGTACTCGTGAGAATTTTTTTTGTATTTCTTTAAGGCATTGGCTTCCAGGAATCCCTTCAATGAGTCTACTGGAATCTGAGGGCTCCAGTTTAACAGGGATTGTGATGTTCCCATGTGCCACATTTTTTAGATTTTATGAGATTATTATTATTATTATTATTATTATTATTATATATATGTTTCTTTGTTAAATAACCTTCAAAATGTGCTTATTGAACAGAAAGTGTATAAAAAATCTTAAATTTATAAAGTAGTTTCTTCTGATTGTTAAAACAGTGACGAACATAATCTTTTAAAGACTTAATCTCTCTCCAGGATATTTTGTGGATTCGCGGTGGTGTAACGGGTCGGAATGAGAAAGGAAAGTGAATCGAGTTACGTACAAATATCTTTCGGAAAAGTATGAATCCTTTCCTACACTTCACAGCTATGGGTAAATATCAGGAGAGAGCGCCTAAATGACAAATTACCACGCTCCCCTCCGCGGTGTCTATGAGTAAAAAGAGTCACAGAAGAAGAAACATCTCTGCACATTTGGGTTGTTTCTTTTAGATGGAGAGATTTTTTGTCCAGATGATAGGTGCACTTCAACACAAAATAATCTTTTTTTTTCAACTCTGAGATGCTGATGTGGAATTTTACTCACACGGTTTTCAGTAGCCTCCTTTAACATACCCAATGCCTCTATTGCAACAAGGACAGTCTTAGTTTTAAGTTTCTACATTTGTTACTTCGATTTCAAAGTCCTCATAATTATTTATTATTATTGTTATAGAGTAGCTAGCATCCCTTCTACACTCTACCAGATGGCCTGGCTCATAGCCTTAAATAGTCTAAGATTAAGAACTTCAACAGTTGATTAATAAGTTGATTAGTAAGTTGATACTAAGCTGATTAATATTCGGAAAGAACTTACTTCGTTTGGCTATAAAGCATTTGACGCTCCTCTATCCATTATAAGTTGTCTTGTTAATTGTTTTGTAACTTATTGTTTTGTGTTTTTTGTATGTATCCGTTAGCACCGGATACTGGTGCTGAATGAATATATTAAGCACTCATTAACCTCGACGGTATAACAATTATTATTATTATTATTATTATTATTGATACAAAAATACTGGCGTAAAAGGAAGTGTCAAGCCATTTCACTATTCAGTTTTTAATGGAATCATGAACAACAGTTTTAAGATGGAGGTGAATGGTGACCACAGCGACTCAAAATGCATAAATGAATGAATGCTTATCGATGCTGTAAAAGAAAATATTGTGGCAAAGTTTTACCAGCTGATTCTAAATATGTTTAGGCATACTCTATCTTTTTATGTGGCATATCCTTTCAGGATGTACGTAATCATGGATCCCCACCTCCCTCTATCCCTTGCAGCTCTCAACAAGTTCCTTCCCTCTGCTTCCTCCCCCAGACCACGTTCTGTCATCAACTTGCTTAAGCCTCCAGGTATGTCACGGGTCGTTTTCCCTTGTCTCTCTTTCCCTCTATTCGACACTTGAGTATCAGATTCTCCACGCCCTCCTTCCTCATTATGTGTCCCAAAAATTTCAGCTGCCTCTTCCTGATGTTAAGTATAATCCTCCTCCTTGTTTGCAACCTATCTAAGACCTTATCGTTGCTCGCACGCTTGGTCTATGATATCCTTAGCTTCCGTCTGTAGAACTACATCTCTATCGCCTCGAGTCTCTTTTTCATCTTTGAGGAAATCGTCCAACCTTCCCTGCCGTAAAGAAGAACAGACGTCATGTAACAGTTCAGTATTCTTTTCTTTGTTACCAAAGAAATCCTCCTGTCTTGCAATACTCTGCTCAGCTTTTGGAATGTGTCCTTGTCCATCCCAATACGTCTACGGATCTCAGTGTCGCACTTACCGTACTCTGTCAAAACGCTTCCCAGATATTTAAACTTCCGCGTCTGCATGATTCTCGACCTGCAAATCGCATATCGGGCTCATCCTCTTACTGACGACCATGCATTCTGTCTTCTTGTAGTTCATGCTTAGTCCTTTCTACTCACTCTCCGTCACTACCTTCTGTAGGAGATTTTGTAATTTCTTTTCCGTCTCTGCTATCAGTACTGTGTCACCAGAAAGAGATTTAACTGAAAAGCAATACCAATAACAGTAAAGCATTAACTTAGAAAACATATACCGTATTTGACGGCATATATGCCGCACTTTTCTTTCCTTTTTTACTAAAAATGTATTTTAAAATTCCTTTGCATCGTATATGCCATATGTAAGTTTAAAATTGGAAATTAGCTGCCTGTCAACTCCTATTAGCTTAGACTTAAACATGAAGGAGCAATGGAACACGTAGATGGCAATGCCTGATCACAACCTTTCACTTACAGGAAGAATAAAAAAGATCCAGCATTGCACAAGCCTGCAAATGGGTGAAGCAAGCTTTGGATAATATTTGAAATTGTTGTGAAATCTTTTAAAAAATGTGGCATTAGCAATGCTCTCAGTGGAACGGAAGATGACGCATTATTTAACGACGATGATAGTAGTATTGAAAATGGGTATCAGAGTTTTGACAACGAAGACGACGAATTTTATGGATTTGAAGATGAATAAAATATTAATGGCAACTGTACTGTTTTGCTCAATTGTAATAATTGCTTGATTTTTATTCTTACCCTTGGATATAGTAAAGTTTTTTATAGGCTCGGGTTTGTTTGTTTTTTTTTTTCCTATTATTTTTTCGTTTAATTGTAATCATGTCTTGTTTAACCAAAATAATATCTCATAAGTATAGCCTAGGCTGTACCGTTTGATAATAATTTTACTAATTTTAGTAATTGCTAATTTTTTTCTTGATTTTACCTGCTGAAATTTGGGAAGCGTCTTATATACCCGTGCGTCTTATATGCCGTCAAATACGGTAATTAATGCTTCATAAAAGTATGTCAATCATATGAAAAGCATTCTGTCTTCTTACAATTGATGTTTAGTCCTTTCTTCTAGCTTTCCTTCATTACCCTCTGTAGGAGTTCTTGTAGTTTCCTCTCTGTGTCTGATATCAACACTGTGTTATCTGCATATCCTAGGGTTTTAAGATTGTGGCCTCCAATAATGAATCCTGGTAGGACTTCTAGTTTTCTCAGAAACAACTGTCAGTTCTTGATGTTAATTATATCTCCCTAATCACTGTTCTGCCAAGCTTGTTAGGTAGGTTATGAGCTGTTTCCCTTTGTCCCTCTTGCCGTAAATCTGTCCTCAGTGTGTCAGATTTTCCAAGCCCTCTTTCCTCATTATGTACCCTAGCAATTTCAACTGCCTCTTCTTCTTGTCCCTTTTGTTTCCGTTTTCTCATGTTCGATCCATGATATTTTCAGTATCCTTCTGTATAACCACATTTCTTCAGCTATAAGTTTCTTCCTCACCTGTGTTTCCTGTATCTGCTATCAATACTGTGTCATTTGCATATCTTACGTTGTTAAGATTGTGGTCACCAATAATGAATCCCGACAGGACTTCTCTCTGAATCACCCGCTGTATAATTTGAATAAGTCCGGTGAGACGACACATCCTTGTCTTATACCCCTTTCTATTTTGTACTCTTACAGAAGTTATTTTCTATCCGTATGCAGGTGGTTTGCTGCCAGTCTAGGTTCTGGATTATGTTTATGTACTTTCCATGTATGTCGAGGTTAGTTCTAACAGTTGTTTGGTTGTGTAATTTATTAAATGCTTTTGCGTGATACAGTTGAGCATCAACATGCATTTGTATTGCACTTTCTGGTATGATTCTGAGATTAAACATTGCATTCCTTGGACCACTCTTCCTTCATTCTTCCTTCAATCCTTCCTACCTGCCATCATTCTTTCTATATTCCTTTCATCGTTCCTTCCATTCTTCCTTCCATCATTCTTTCTATATTCCTTTCATCGTTCCTTCCATTCTTCCTTCCCTTCTTCCTTCCTTTCTTCCTTCTATTCCCCCTTCCTTTGTTCCTTCCATCCTTCCTTCCATTCTTCCTTCCATCATTCTTTCTATATTCCTTTCATCGTTCCTTCCATTCTTCCTTCCCTTCTTCCTTCCTTTCTTCTTTCTATTCCCCTTCCTTTGTTCCTTCCATCCTTCCTTCCATTCTTCCTTCCATCATTCTTTCTATATTCCTTTCATCGTTCCTTCCATTCTTCCTTCCCTTCTTCCTTCCTTTCTTCCTTCTATTCCCCTTCCTATGTTCCTTCCATCCTTCCTTCCATTCTTCCTTCCATCATTCTTTCTATATTCCTTTCATCGTTCCTTCCATTCTTCCTTCCCTTCTTCCTCCCTTTCTTCATTCTATTCCCCCTTCCTTTGTTCCTTCCATCCTTCCTTCCATTCTTCCTTCCATCATTCTTTCTATATTCCTTTCATCGTTCCATCCATTCTTCGTCCCCTTCTTCCTTTCTTTCTTCCTTCTATTCCCCCTTCCTTTGTTCCTTCCATCCTTCCTTCCATTCTTCCTTCCATCATTCTTTCTATATTCCTTTCATCGTTCCTTCCATTCTTCCTTCCCTTCTTCCTTCCTTTCTTCCTTCTATTCCCCTTCCTTTGTTCCTTCCATCCTTCCTTCCATTCTTCCTTCCATCATTCTTTCTATATTCCTTTCATCGTTCCTTCCATTCTTCCTTCCCTTCTTCCTTCCTTTCTTCCTTCTATTCCCCTCCTTTGTTCCTTCCATCCTTCCTTCCATTCTTCCTTCCATCATTCTTTCTATATTCCTTTCATCGTTCCTTCCATTCTTCCTTCCCCTTCTTCCTTCCTTTCTTCCTTCTATTCCCCTTCCTTTGTTCCTTCCATCCTTCCTTCCATTCTTCCTTCCATCATTCTTTCTATATTCCTTTCATCGTTCCTTCCATTCTTCGTTCCCCTTCTTCCTTCCTTTTTCTTCCTTCTATTCCCCTTCCTTTTGTTCCTTCCATCCTTCCTTCCATTCTTCCTTCCATCATTCTTTCTATATTCCTTTCATCGTTCCTTCCATTCTTCCTTCCCTTCTTCCTTTCCTTTCTTTTTTCTATTCCCCTTCCTTTGTTCCTTCCATCCTTCCTTCCATTCTTCCTTCCATCATTCTTTTTCTATATTCCTTTCATCGTTCCTTCCATTCTTCCTTCCCTTCTTCCTTCCTTTCTTTTTTCTATTCCCCCTTCCTTTGTTCCTTCCATCCTTCCTTCCATTCTTCCTTCCATCATTCTTTTCTATTTCCTTTCATCGTTCCTTCCATTCTTCCTTCCCTTCTTCCTTCCTTTCTTCCTTCTTTCCCCTTCCTTTGTTCCTTCCATCCTTCCTTCCATTCTTCCCTTCCTCATTCTTTGTTCCTTCCATCCTTCCTTCCATTCTTCCTTCCATCATTCTTTTTCTATATTCCTTTCATCGTTCCATCCTCCATTCTTCCTTCCTTTCTTCCTTCCTTTCTATTCCCTTCCTTTGTTCCTTCCATCCTTTCCTTCCATTCTTCCTTCCATCATTCCTTTTCTATATTCTTATTCATCGTTCCTTCCATTCTTCCTTCCCTTCTTCCTTCCTTTCTTTTTTCTATTCCCCTTCCTTTGTTCCTTCCATCCTTCCTTCCATTCTTCCTTCCATCATTCTTTCTATATTCTTTTCATCGTTCCTTCCATTCTTCGTCCCCTTCTTCCTTCCTTTCTTCCTTCTATTCCCCCTTCCTTTGTTCCTTCCATCCTTCCTTCCATTCTTCCTTCCATCATTCTTTCTATATTCCTTTCATCGTTCCTTCCATTCTTCCTTCCCTTCTTCCTTCCTTTCTTCCTTCTATTCCCCCTTCCTTTGTTCCTTCCATCCTTCCTTCCATTCTTCCTTCCATCATTCTTTCTATATTCCTTTCATCGTTCCTTCCATTCTTCCTTCCCTTCTTCCTTCCTTTCTTCCTTCTATTCCCCTTCCTTTGTTCCTTCCATCCTTCCTTCCATTCTTCCTTCCATCATTCTTTCTATATTCCTTTCATCGTTCCTTCCATTCTTCCTTCCTTTCTTTTTTCTATTCCCCTTCCTTTGTTCCTTCCATCCTTCCTTCCATTCTTCCTTCCATCATTCTTTCTATATTCCTTTCATCGTTCCTTCCATTCTTCCTTCCTTCTTCCTTCCTTCCTTTCTTCCTTCTATTCCCCCATCCTTTGTTCCTTCCATCCTTCCTTCCATTCTTCCTTCCATCATTCTTTCTATATTCCTTTCATCGTTCCTTCCATTCCTCCTTCCCTTCTTCCTTCCTTTCTTCCTTCTATTCCCCCTTCCTTTGTTCTTTCCATCCTTCCTTCCATTCTTTTCCTTCCATCCATTTCATCTTTTTTTATATTCCTTTCATCGTTCCTTCCATTCTTCCTTCCTTCTTCCTTCTTCCCTTTCTTCCTTCTATTTCCCCTCCTTCCTTCCATGTTCCTTCCATCCTTCCTTCCATTCTTCCTTCCATTCATTCCCCGCCTTTTTCTTCCATATTCCTTTCATCGTTCCTTCCATTCTTCCTTCCTTTCCATCCTTCCTTCTTCCTTCCTTTCTTTTTTCCCCCCTTCCTTTGTTCCTTCCATCCTTCCTTCCATTCTTCCTTCCATCATTCTTTTCTATATTCCTTTCATCGTTCCTTCCATTCTTCCTTCCCTTCTTCCTTCCCTTTCTTCCTTCTATTCCCCTTCCTTTGTTCCTTCCATCCTTCCTTCCATTCTTCCTTCCATCATTCTTTTCTTTATTCCTTTCATCGTTCCTTCCATTCCCCTTCCTTTGTTCCCATTTCCTTCCTTCCTTCTTTCTTTCTTCCTTTCCTTCCTTCCCCCTTCCTTCTTTCCTTTGTTCCTTCCATCCTTCCTTCCATTCTTCCTTCCATCATTCTTTCTATATTCCTTTCATCGTTCCTTCCATTCTTCCTTCCTTCTTTCCTTCCTTTCTTCCTTCTATTCCCCCTTCCTTTGTTCCTTCCTTCCTTTCTTCCTTCCATCATTCTTTTCTTTATTTCCTTTCATCGTTCCTTCCATTCTTCCTTCCCCTTCTTCCTTCCTTTTTTCCTTCTATTCACCCTTCCTTTCCTTCCATTTCCTTTTCTTCCTTCCATCATTTTTTTCTATATTCCTTTCATCGTTCCTTCCATTCTTCCTTCCCTTCTTCCTTCCTTTTCTTCCTTCTATTCCCCCCTTCCTTTGTTCCTTCCATCTTTCCTTCCATTCTTCCTTCCATCATTCTTTTCCATATTCCTTTCATCGTTCCTTCCATTCTTCCTTCCCTTCCTTCCTTCTTCTTCCTTCTTCCATCCTTCCTTCCTTTCCCCCATCATTCTTTCTATCCTTTCATCGTTCCTTCCATCCTTCCTTCCATTCTTCCTTCCATCATTTTTTTATATTCCTTTCATCGTTCCTTCCATTCTTTCTTCCCCCTTCTTCCTTCCTTTCTTCCTTCTATTCCCCCTTCCTTTGTTCCTTCCATTTTCCTTCCATTCTTCCTTCCATCATTCTTTTTCCATATTCCTTTCATCGTTCCTTCCATTCTTCCTTCCCTTCTTCCTTCCTTTCTTTTCTATTCCCCCCTTCCTTCTTGTATTCCATCCTTCCTTCCATTCTTCTTCCATATTCCTTTTCGTTCCTTCCATTCTTCCTTCCATCCTTCCTTTCTTTCTTCCTTTATTCCCCTTCCTTTGTTCCTTCCATCCTTCCTTCCATCATTCTTTCTATATTCCTTTCATCGTTCCTTCCATTCTTCGTTCCCTTTTCCTTTCTTTCTTCCTTCTATTCCCCCTTCCTTTGTTCCTTCCATCCTTCCTTCCATTCTTCCTTCCATCATTCTTTCTATATTCCTTTCATCGTTCCTTCCATTCTTCCTTCCCTTCTTCCTTCCTTTCTTCCTTCTATTCCCCTTCCTTTGTTCCTTCCATCCTTCCTTCCATTCTTCCTTCCATCATTCTTTCTATATTCCTTTCATCGTTCCTTCCATTCTTCGTCCCCTTCTTCCTTCCTTTCTTCCTTCTATTCCCCCTTCCTTTGTTCCTTCCATCCTTCCTTCCATTCTTCCTGCCATCATTCTTTCTATATTCCTTTCATCGTTCCTTCCATTCTTCTTTCCTTTCTTCCTTCTATTCCCCTTCCTTTTTCCTTCCATCCTTCCTTCCATCATTCTTTCTATATTCCTTTCATCGTTCCTTCCATTCTTCGTTCCCTTCTTCCTTTCTTTCTTCCTTCTATTCCCCCTTCCTTTGTTCCTTCCATCCTTCTTTCCATTCTTCCTGCCATCATTCTTTCTATATTCCTTTCATCGTTCCTTCCATTCTTCGTTCCCTTCTTCCTTTCTTTCTTCCTTCTATTCCCCCTTCCTTTGTTCCTTCCATCCTTCCTTCCATTCTTCCTTCCATCATTCTTTCTATATTCCTTTCATCGTTCCTTCCATTCTTCCTTCCCTTCTTCCTTTCTTTCTTCCTTCTATTCCCCCTTCCTTTGTTCCTTCCATCCTTCCTTCCATTTTTCCTGCCATCATTCTTTCTATATTCCTTTCATCGTTCCTTCCATTCTTCTTTCCTTTCTTCCTTCTATTCCCCTTCCTTTTTCCTTCCATCCTTCCTTCCATCATTCTTTCTATATTCCTTTCATCGTTCCTTCCATTCTTCCTTCCCTTCTTCCTTTGTTTCTTCCTTCTATTCCCCCTTCCTTTGTTCCTTCCATCTTTCCTTCCATTCTTCCTTCCATCATTCTTTCCATATTCCTTTCATCGTTCCTTCCCTTCTTCTTTCCTTTGTCCCATCTTTCCTTCCATTCTTCCTTTCATATTCCTTTCATCCTTCCTTACTTTTATTCTTCCTTCTTTCCTGTTTTATTTCTTTCCATCATTCTTTCCTTCATTCATTCGTTTCTTCCTGTCATCTTTCCTTTATTTCTTACTTTTTTCCTCTCTTCCTTTCATTCCTTTTTCCTTCCTTTCTTTTTTTCCTGTTTTCTTTTCTTCTTTCCCACTTTCTTCCTATCCATCCTTCTTTGTTTACTTTTTTCTTCCTTCTATCCTTCCTTCGTTTGATCCTTCCTTTTTTATCTCCTTTCTCCATTTTCTTTTTCCCATCCTTCCTTCCATTTTTTCTCCCTTCTTTGTTCTATTCTATTTTTCTTCTCCTCATTCCTCCATTTCTTTCTGAGGTCTTTCATTGATTTCTTCCTTTTTTTTCTTCCTACTTTCCTTCCTTCCATTCTTCTTTCCTTTCTTTCCTTCCTTTCTTTCCTTCTTTCCTTCATTCTTTCCATATTTCGTCGTTCACAATATTTTTTTTTACTCTCTTTCTTATTTACTTTTCTTTAAACAATTTCACAGAATACATTGATTTGGGGGGATCCTCCTCTTTAATCAGACCTCCTTCTTTCACTAAAGCACACTCTTTGTTAGGGGAAGCGTGACAATCATTACTATATTGAACAGAAAATATTCTAAATTAAAAATCAGGTCAAAAAGCTCTTCATTAAAGCGATCAGTCTATCACTTATAACGTTCTCTTCGCTTCAAGTATCTGCTGCCTCATTAGATTTCCACTGATTCATGTAAGGACGCTCGTTAAAAGCTAAAATATCCTTTAAAAGCTGAACACCTAAACTTCGTAAGAGTCTCGATCGAACTAACCGAACGTTTATGTCATATCATACACAGCTCTTGAAAAGTTTTAAATCTTAAAAATCACAACGCCACTGCCACATTCACATCGTTCCAAGACAAACAGTCTGTCCTGCGTATGACGATAAATTACATCCGCGTCCTGGGTTAGACGATAAACTACGTCCAACAGCAAGGCCTCTGATCAGGATGTTTTGTGGAGCATGGAACCACCTCATAATTGCTGGCGTTCCCAGATACGCCCTGACTCGGAGTGGTAGCAGCTGTTGGGGTCCCAGCTATAAGCAAATAGTTAACACCCAAACTTGTGTAAAAATAGGTTTTAATACCAGAAATACATTGTAATAAAAAAAATTATTACCAGCAATAATTTTTGAAGGAAAAATTATTATCAGCAATAGTTTTAAAAAAATACCACCAGTACAAATAGCTATACATATTTGAAAAAAAATATGACCAGCTATAGATTTCTTCAAGGAAAAATATTCCCAGAAACAAATTTTTGAAGAAAAACATTACCAGCAATAAAAATTTTGTCGTCATTAAGTAACCCATTGAGGTTGAAATGCCGTAAAACAAAACAACCAATAGATAGATAGATAGATAGATAGATAGATAGATAGATAGATAGATAAAAAAAATATTGCCAGCATTAAAAATCTTGTTGGTATTAAATAACCCATTGAGATTGATATACCGTAAAAGAAAACAGACCAAACCAATATATACTGGGATAGATAGATAAATAGATAGATAGATAGATAGATAGATAGATAGATAGATAGATATGAGTTGACTGTGATAGATTAGACAGATAGATATTAATAGACTGCAATAGATAGATAGATAGATAGATAGATAGATAGATAGATAGAGAGATAAAAAAAAAAATATTGTCAGCAATAAAAATTTTGTCGGCATTAAATAACCCATTGAGGTGTTGATATGCCGTAAAACAAACCAATCCAAGACAAACAGCAGTGACCGAACATTGAACATTGCACTTAATTAAATTTATACTAATAAAGTGGTATGCATATCTACCGAGAAGGTATCTATACCATTAAAAATGTTTCCGAAGTTAAACAACGTCGAACCTAGTCAGTACCTAGATGAGTGACCGCTTGGAACACAAGAGGCTATAAGCTTGGGTGTGCAGGTAGTGTAATGAATAATGGCTCAGAATTGGAAATTGAGGAGCCGAGTTCAAATTCCAGTCATATTTGTCATATTCACTTTTACACAAATAACTTTGGGTATGACTCCACCTCTTCACCCTCCAGCGATGGGTTAAATTAGTATGACTTGTACCTGTAAATCTTCCAAATATCATCTTTTAAATAACCTATAAAAGGTTGATAAACCGTAAAAAACAGTCATCCAATCAACAACTTTTTATCTTTTATTTCTCTTAACAATGTTTACTCTTTTATTATCCCTCCTAGTTTCTCTTCCGCAATTTATTTTCACGAAATCGTTAGGGAGGTGATTTGCTTAGGTAACTCCACGAGATCGCTAAAAAAAAAAGAGCATAGCATGTTGATGACAGGCGCAGAAAAAATAAACTGCAGGGAGTTCTAAACAAGGTAGTAAAGAAAAGGAGGAAATAAGGACTAACCATCAATTAAAAGACAATGTATCGGTGTTAGAAAGAGGAATAGCCAATTATGCAAGCTACGAATTGAAGATGCCAAAATCAAACAACTAGAAAAATTTAAACATCTGGGGAGGAAATGGCAGCAAATGTGACACATATTTTGTAAAAAGTCGCCTTGGAAGAGGAAATAAACTAAACAAAAGGACATTAAATTAGAAACAGAGAACTAAGCAGTAGCTCCTTGTATCTTAGTGGCATTATCGCCTTGCTTGGAGTGAAATGATTAAAAAAAATCAATTTTTACAACCTACTTAGGGCATTCTTTAAAAGGTTGACGATGAATCAGAACAACTGAAGATTACATCTTGTCATATTGTCTATTGTCTTCTTTTCAGGACTTTATTTGTATAGTGAGTTCATACTCGGCATCATCTGCTTATCTTATATTAAGAGTGTGCTCACCTCTAATAAATCCTGGTAGGACTTCTAGTTCTCTTGGGATCGCCTTGCTCTATAACAGGGGTCGGCAACATTTGGCTATGTGCCGACTTAGGGTTTTAAAGTCATTCAGTGTACCAACATCATACGTATTTTTATACAAGTCAAGGTCAATATACCTAATCTACAATATATTTTATATAGTAGTATATACTACATATACGATAGTATATATTAAAATTGAAACAGTTAAATATCCTCTTTGCGCTGTAGTAATTATTGTTTCGGAATTAGTGATGTCATTTGCGGCTGTGTGCCATTGAAAATTGCTTGGCGTACCACACGTGGCACGCCTGGCCTATATTGTCGACCCTTGCTCTATGGATTAAATAAATTCCGTGAAAAAAAACTATCCTTGAACTTTTTATTTTAACTGAAATCACCCCAAGAATTGTGATATCTAAGGTTTAAAATTAATTTTTAAAAATGAAAATGTTTTTTATTTTAGTTTTAATTTCAAATTAATAGATTAAATTTAATATTTCCCATAAACACATACTTTATTTTAAAACGAATTTTAATCGATTGGGAGTTGATTTTTTTTAATTACTAAAATCGCTGATTTTAGCGCCATTTTTAGCCATCTATCAGCAAAATGTAATTCTCTTTATTAAAAAGCCTTTCAAGAATAAAATATAGTTTTATTTAAAGTTTAATTAATCTTATTTGAAAGAGATATTACTTTTAGTTCATCGCAGAAATGAAGTGTTTTCATTAGGTGTTGACAGCTCTAATGACAGGTAATTTTTTTTCTACGGAGGACATATCTTCTAAGCATGGACGAATGGTAGACATAGATATATAAGATAGATTCCGGGGTGAAAAATTATCTAGTACGTCACAATTAACCAACTGGGCAAAAGATTCAATATAATGTTTCCACTTCATGTCAGGCGAGGCCGTTAACCCGAGAAGAAGCCGCAACGAATTACTCTCCTTAGCAGCAAGGGGCCTCTCAGATGATTAATAGAGTGCAGTTTTGTTTTGGAGGCGTTAAAATTAACAAGCCATTCTTTGCCCCTGATAGCAACAGATTGAAGGTCGTTTTTTGACATCAGCCGCCAATATGGCCTCAACGAGCTGATCAGACTTACTATCAAGACAGGTGTAAATGATTGTGTCATCATTATAGATACCAAGTTGAGAGCTGATGCCACTGTTAATGAAAATTAAAACAAAATAGGACCAATTATAAAGGCCTGGGGGACACCTGTATTATTACAAAAGGATCTAGAAGAGTGGCCGTTTAGGGTGACTTTCATTTCATGATTTGCTAAGAAAGAGTGAATCAGTTCAGTAATTTGTCCGGAGACACCGTAACTTTTCAACTTATAAAGAAGACCTGTATGCCAAACCCTGTCAAAAGCTTTCGAGATGTCCAAAGCAACAGACCGAGATTCACCAGACTCTTTTCGCAATGATTGCTTGTTTGAAAGAAAAGCCTACGATGTGAGATGCTTGACCAATTCAGCATTGATTAGGGCCTCTAGTAGTTTACCAAAAAGAGGTAAAAGGCTAACAGACCGATAATTGGGAGGATTGGACGAGTCCTTACAAACTGGAAAAAACAGATAATGATTTCCAACAAGCAGGAAATCAAAAGGCAGCGAGGCGTTTATTATAAAGTTTAGAGAGAACAAGAGCCAGTTCGGGAGAACACTTCCTAAGGGATAACATTATGCTTTGTGGGGACCCAGATTAAAGATGATAGCAGAAACCATAGAAGGGGTTATATGCATATCACTCCACAGAGACTTAATTCTAAGAGAAAAGACAGGCAAGGATGCTCCAGATGAGTCAAGAGTAAAGAATTTACAGGCGAAACATTCATCTTTATCAGAAGATGTTAACACTTTAAAATTGATTGAAGAGAGGAGGAGTAGAAAACTTACACTTATTTAATACACTATCACAGAGCCGCCAGTAACCAAGATAGCCAAATGACATATATATATATATATATATATATATATATAATAGCTGGCCACTCGTATTCGAGGATACCTGTCTACTAGGACGTCTAGCCAAAACCTAATTGAGACGTTTACTCAGGCACATTTTTGTGTTTGTTCACACCCACAGAGCCCACCCTGTGGTTTATACTGCAACTATGCTGAGCATACCTTAGTTATAGTTTCTGGGAAAGAGCGTGTTATCTAGCGTGATCAACAATGTGAACAAGGCCAGCACACTCAAATCCTCGGTCACGATGACTTGTGACTTTTTGCTAGCACAGTTATCGACGGTCCCCAGGGATTCCGTCTACCCAATTTCAGTCACACAGCTTAGATCAACCCGTGGTATGGTTTTCAGGCACTTTTCAAAGGTGCGGCACGCTGGGATTGCCCCACCCAGGACTGATAACATCAGGAAGTCTACTTCCTGACAAATCAACCGTGGTGAGATTCGAACCCGGCTCAGAAAGCAAACGCATAATACACACACACACACATACATACATACATACATACATACAATATATATATATATATATATATATATATATATATATATATATATAATAAACGTGTGAATTTCTTTTTCATTTTTCATTTCAACCTTTGGAAGTAAAGTCTGATGATCCAGGCCCTGTTAAAGG